AAAACCCCCCCCCCCCCCCCCCCCCGTCCGTGACTCCAAGCGACCACTAAATGAACAAGTTGTAAATTGAGGACTGCCGGTGGGGAGGGTTTCTTTAGGGGTGGGGGCTCCGTTGATGAGGAGAAGTGTGAACAAGTGTTGAGTGTGCAAAAGACACAAGTCCCTCCCCCCTCCGCTGGTTTGTGACTCCAAGCGGCCACTAAACGAATGGTTGTAAATTGAGGACTGCCTGTGGGTGAGGGGTTTTTTTAAGGGAGAGGGGTCTCTGTCGGTGAGGAAAAGTGTAAACAAGTGTTGAGTGTGAAAAGAATCAAGTCCCTTTTTTTCCACAGCTGGTTTGTGACTCCAAGCAACCACTAAACGAACAGGTTGTAAATTGAGGATTGACTGCGGGTAGGGTTTTTTTTTTTTTTTTTTGGAGGGGGGGCTCCATTGATGAGGAAAACTGTGAACAAGTGTTGAGTGTGAAAAAGATACAAATCTCTCCCCCCCCTCCGCCGGTTGCTACTCCAAGTGGCCACTAAATGAAGGCTTGAACTTGAAGTCAAAATCTCCTGCTAAATTGCCAAGTTTGGAAAACCCTGGGATCATTACAGGTTCTGCTTTTGATCTCAAAAGTCCTTGTAAGCAGAGCCAGACGGCCAAAAATTTGGGAGGATCTTGTAATCCTATCCTATAGACTACACCTGGAGTACTGCATCCAGTTTTGGTCACCACACCATAAAAAAGATGTGGAGACTCTAGAAAGAGTGCAGAGAAGAGCAACCAGGATGACGAGGGGACTGCAGGCTCAAACGTGCGATGAACGGTTGCAAGAACTGGGCCTGGCTAGTCTAGGGAAGAGAAGGACCAGGGGAGACAGGAGAGCATCTTCCAATATTTGAGGGGCTGCCCCAGAGAGGAGGAGGAAGGGGTCAAGCTATTTTGCAAGGCACCCGAAGGCCAGACAAGGAGTAATGGGTGGAAAATGAACAAGGAGAGATTCAATCTAGAAATAAGGAGGAATTTTCTGACAGTGAGAACATGGAACATCCATCCATGGAACCGAAGTTGCCTTCGGAAGTTGTGAGAGCTTCATCCCTGGAGGCTTTCAAGAAGAGACTAGACTGTCATTTGTCAGAAATGGTGTAGGGTCTCCTGCTTGGGTGGAGGGTTGGACTAGATGGCCTACAAGGTCCCTTCCAACTCTGTTCATCTGTTAATTTCTCAATGTTTTTTTTTCTTTAAAGGCCTAGGCTATGTGAGCTGCACTTCCCTCCTTCATTTGTCCCCCAGTCCATCAATCCATTAGAGCGGTAGCTAAATAATCTTTGTTTGGTCAACATGCACTTTGGCATTGTGTATTTCTGCCCAGATGTGAGTCCCGGCCCACTGCCTATTGCAAGAGAGGAAACGGTTTGGGACAAATACAAAGAGCTCTCTTTAGCCAAAAAAATTAAAACAATGAAGTGGTGTGCCAAGAACAAGAGATTGATTGTCTCTTTCCTGCAGTTTATGATGTAAAAACAAAAAACCCAAACAAACCCAAGACTCTAGAAATTGAGAATGGAGGAGGAAGGGGGAAAAAAATAAATGAAAATTTGGGAAGATTGCTTTAGACTAGATGAGCCCTGGGACCCATTCTAGTTCTGTTTCTGGGACTTTGTTTGAAAGGGCCATGGTTGTGAAACCCTAAAGAGGCTGTGGGGTGTGTGTACCCTGAAAGGGGTGTGTGTTGTGGGTCATGACAGCTCTGAGGATGTTTTCGCTGGCAATGCTAGCTGGGGCATTCTGGGAGTTGAAAGTCCACACATCTTAAAATGGCCAAGGTTGAGAAGCCTTAGGACTTGGACCGAGCAAAAATAGGAATAGCAGTAGCCCTTAGACCTATATATCGCTTTACAGTGCTTTCCAGCCCTCTCTAAGTGGTTTAGTGTCAGTATCTTGCCTCTGGCTCCTCATTTTACTGACCTTGGAAGAACGGAAGGCTGAGTCAACCTTGAGTTGGTCAGAATCGAAGTCCTGACTGTGGGCAGAGTTAGCCTGTAATACACCATTCTAACCACTGGGAAGGAAGGAAGGAAAATAGCCATAGACTTCTAGATCACTTCACAATGCTTCAACAGCCCTCTCTAAGCAGTTTAGAGTCCGCCTCTTGTACCCTAACAACCTGGGTCCTCGTTTTACAGACATTAGGAGGATGGAAGGCTGAGTCAACCTGGAGCTGGTCAGGATCGAACTCCTGGCAATGGGCAGAATTATCCTGCAATACTGCATTCTAATGGAAGGAAGGGAGGGAGGGAGAGAGGGAGGGAGAGCAATAGCACCTTGATTTATATACCGCTTCACAGTGCTTTTACAGCCCTGAGCAGTTTACAGAGTCAACCTCTTGCCTGGCCCCCAACAATCTGGATCTTCATTTTACCCACCTCGGAAGGATGAAAGGATGAGTCAACCTTGAGTCAGTAAAGATCAAACTCCTGGCAGTGCGTAGAGTTAGTCTGCAATACTGCGTTCTAACCACTGGGAAGGAGGGAAGGAAAATAGTAGAAGCACTTAGACTTATATACTGCTTCACGGTGCTTTTACAACCTGCCCTAAGCGGTTTAGTCAGCCTGTTGCCCCCAACCATCTGGGTCCTCATTTTATCCATCTCGGAAGGACGGAAGGCTGAGTCAACCTTGTGCCACTCAGGATCAAACTGCCGAATTGCAGTCAGATGGCAATCACCAGAAGTAGCCTGCAGTACTGCACTTTAACCACTGCGCCACCACATCTCATTAAAAATGAACCAATCGGCCCTCATAGGAAGAATAGTTGGCAATTTGCAGCTTCTGGATCCCTTTGGAGCCTTGGAATCCCTGGGTGGTCCCTTCCAGATCCCATTTCCTGAGGCATTCAGGTAGCAAATACAGACTGTCTCACTTAACAACATATATTTTGGACTCAATTGTAGTTGAAAGTCAAGTTCTACCTGTTTGAAGGGGTCCTTGTTGCTTTCTGAGCTTGCTTGTTTTCTTGCAGACATTTCATTTCCCAGCTAGGTAACACCATCAGTGCTAGTAAGGAGTGTTGCACTCTTTACTCTAGCATGGATGCTGTTGCTTAGCTTGGCAATGAAACGTCAAGAAAACAAGGAAGCTCTGAGATCATCCAGGACCCCTCATGTCAACCCTGAGCTACAAAGCATCCTCATTTAACAACCACATAATCCCTTGTGGGGTGAAGTCTGGGCAACTGAATGGAGCTGAGTGTTTACTGGCCGGATGTCCTTCCTGTTGCCAATGCGGAGTTTTGTTCGGCAGATATTTTCTCATTGTGCCCAGAGAGAAATATCTGCCTCTACAATTTCTGAGCTACAAATATTCTTTGATACATAGTAATGACATATTTGATTGTGAAATGAATATGAACTAGACATTGCAAAAGTTGCGATTTGCTCGAAAAGGATAACATATAATCGAAGTCTAATAATGGCTTGATAACAACATGATATAGTTGATTTACATAATATGAAAGTTTAGGAGGGAAAGACTGTTAATATTGTGCACAAGAGGTATGTACCAACCGACACACTGTACAATGGAAAGATGGTTTTATTTGATGTTTTGTGTATGTTTGTTATCAAAATAAATTCTTTAAAAAAAAAAAAAGACTTGTGGACTTCCACTCCCAGAATTCCTCCTCCAGTCATATTAGCTCAGGAATACTGGGAGTGGAAGTCCACAAGTCTTAAACTTGCCAGGTTTGAAGACCCTTGCACTAGACCAAACTGGCTCCTTGCTACAACTGAACTGAGTTTTGTTGGATTTTGCTGATCTTTAACTGGAATTTCCCCCACCACCACCGCTCCCCCAAAAAAGACTAAAACCCATTTCGGAGCACGCAGATCCGACACTCTGAGATTAACCAGGCAAACAAGTCACACAGTTCACCTGAAAAGGCTCCTTTTGTCCATCAGGATAACAATTATTTTTTAACCTTTAAATTTTCATTTGGAATGAATCATACATAAAAAGGGTTAAATAGGAATTAGGCTATTAACACTCCGTTGGAGAATTCAAAGGTTGTTATTTTAAAGTCACGTAAACAACCTTCTAACCAGCAGTTTCTGACCCAGAAAATAACAAAAAAAATAAATGTACAGCCAGCTCTTGTCAGGTTGTATAACAACGCACATAATCGCACACACAAACAGGTGTCCTTGTGTTTTCTCTGAGTGTAA